AACTCTCAAACCACCACAGGCACTTGGAGCGTTTCAATAAAATGTAATGCTAAATAAATACGAAATCTATTTACTACCAAAGTCTTAATGTTTCTGCAGTGTGCAGCAGCTAGCGTGCGGCGGCCAGCGTGTGTTGCAGATAAGCATTTGGACGGCATTTACAGGAAATTGTCGGCAATAATAGATGAAAGAGAGTAGAGAAACATTAATTATAAGACATTGGTAGTAAATAGATTTCGTATTTATTTAGCATTATATTTTATTGAAACGCTCCAAGTGCCTGTGTCTCAAACGCATGCAGCTTCCCACGCGTAGGGGGTAATTGTGAAATCGCTCCTCGGCGTGCAATGAGCATACACACGGACGGACGCACGCGCACACACATGCACGCACACACACACATGCGCACACACACACGCACGCACGCACGCACACGCACACATGCACGCGCACTTACACTTGTAGCTGCTTACATGAACTGTATCATTTAGTCGGCAGAGATGAGAACGGCGAGATCTCACGCGCGATCAGATATCTGGCCGTGACAACGATGGCGATGACGACAGCGATGACGACAGCGATGACGACGACGACGACGATGGCCACCACGTATCGGCGCACGAATAATCACGGGAAAGAACACAGTATCTATAACGGATGGCGAACGTCTGCACGAGCATGTGGTCGCTATCGAGACACTGAAATCCCCCTTAGCTCTCCGCCTGTCTGGGTGTCACACCGATCGACCTCTCTCTACGTTTCAATGAGCGACTCTGCCTCCGTCTGTTAGTCCCGCCCTAGCGGCCACTGTTCTCGCTACATCCTCACAGCGACGACGCGTAGACGTCTTTCTCGAGGAACACATGCACACACATACACACACGCACACACGTATAACACTTCTTGCAGCTACTAAGGATATAGCGCGCAGTGGTTGGCTGTGCTCGCGATCGGTGCCGCCAGCGTACGTTGCACGTACGTATGCGCATACGTCGGTGTTTGGGCGGACTTCGGCAGCCTGCATAATGCGCGCGAGAGTGGATCAAATCATTACATCGCCGCGGCAGAGGGAGGGCAAATAGCGGTAGCAGCAGCAGCAGCAGCAGTAGTAGTAGCGGTAGCAGTAGCGGCGGCGGCGGCGGCGGCGGCGGCGACGGCACCAGCAGCAGCAGAAGCAGTAGCAGTAGCAAGAGCACTTAGCAAGAGCAGCAGCAGCAGCAGCAGCAGTAGTAGTAGTCGTAGTAGTAGTAGCCGTAGTAGTCGTAGTAGTAGTAGCCGTAGTAGTTGTAGTAGTAGCACCACCGCCACCAGCAGCAGCAACAGTAGCAGCCACGTCTACGCGAAGTTGAGAGTTCTCAACGATCGACCTCACTCACAGTCGCGCACCACTGCTGGTGTTGATTACTCACGCATCCGATCATAGCCTAGCCGCGAAGGTAAATGCTGGCAATGGTGAGACACTGGGGAATTCGCGGAGGGGGGGGGGTGATACACACAAGTGCGCTAGCAGCAGTTCAGGCAGGCTGCGCTCGATGCTGTCTGTAATGATCGACTCGAGCTAGACGAGTTGACCCAGGTTTACAATCGGCGCTCAACATACTTCCGTTAGCACGTAAAACTCGTCTTTAATATTGACAAAGGTGGCAACAAAGTGTATTACATACGGCTCACGACAAGCACGGTTGCATCATTAATATATCGCAAAACATTCTCAACAAACCAGCAATGTGCAGCGGTCTTGAGCTTTTTGAGACATCATTATACTGCCCTTCTAGCGTATATAGACAGAGATGAAGGTGACCGGACGACGCGGCCCAACAACAACACCAACGATAAATGTAAGCAAAGGCGATCACTTCACGATTACATACATGACGTAGATATAAATGATTTAACTAACAACGTGATTTCATTAATATTATAACAAAATCAATTTTAGATTACAGTGTAGTTTGTTTTTATCGAAAAATTGCGACCGCTCGGCTCACATACATGTACATAGCCGGTGACAGTTCAGCTTACTAGTGGAACGCTGTACGAGAGAAAGAGAGAGAGAGAGAGAAAGAGAGAAAGAGAGAAAGAGAGAAAGAGAGAAAGAGAGAGCGAGAGAAAGAGAAAGAGAGAGAGAGAGAGAGAGAGAGAGAGAGAGAGAGAGAGAGAGAGAGAGAGAGAGAGAGAGAGAGAGAGAGAGAAAGAAGAAGAGAGAGAGAGAGCGAGAGAAAGAGAGGAGAGAGAGTGGGAGAGAGAGAGAGAGAGAGAACGAGAGAGAGAGAGAAGAGAGATGAGAGAGAGAGAGAAGAGCGAGAGAAGGCGAAAAGAGGCGAGAGAGAGAGAAGAGAGAGAAGAGAGAGAGAGAGAGAGAGAGAGAGAGAGAAGAGAGACGAGAGAGAGAGAAGAAAAGAGAGATGGAGCACGTATGCGCAGCATAAATTTAAACACTCGCGTAACTATTTTTCGTAAGCCGTGTCAATCTTTACGGAAAAAAACATTGTGAACCGCAGCTAACATTGAGAATAATCAGAGAAGCTCAGAGCCCAACAGGTAGGATATAATCACGAGTTTATCAACCTCAGTGTACTGCAAGTATGATCTGTTTCATCACTTATTCCAAGCGAATGCGACTCCATGAAAAACGAAAATGAAATATGAAATGTGAATGAAAACGATAATATAAGAGAAATAAGTCTATCTTTCCAGATTCATCTAGGGGTAACACGTGCAATGTAAACGTGACCATGGAAAAAAGAGCATCTAACTATTTTACGATGAACGGCAACGCTTACTATCTATTTCGTTAGGAACTATTGTACGATGAAGCAGGAAAAGAATTGTGGGGGTCTAAATTGCATTTAGAATTTAAATGATATCATACAGAACAGAAAACAGATTACCGAATGGCAAGTAAGGTGAATTAGAAAGCATATGAATACCCCTATACGAAAGTGTTTGTGAACAACATATAACGAACGTAAGTAGTGTATCCGCTGTAATCATCAACACACAAGGAATAATCAAGGGTATAAGAAATTACACCCGTTTATTAGGTCATAATTTAAAGATAATCTCTCAATTAAAATTCTAGAAATTTAATAAATGTGAACAAATTTACTCTCACTACTGTCAGCGTACATATTACTTGATGTACTTGTAGCATAAAAACTATTACGAGTTTATGGCTGCTATAGGCTATATAAAACAGTAAATATGCAGCAAAGCAGTGCGCCTGTGCTGCGGTTCTTCGAAGATTCCGCGAATTTTTTTTTAAGCGCTCGGCCACAAAATCACGCGAAAGCAAATTTTTATGAGACTTTGTATGCAAGAGTCTATCAATACTGACTAGGACTCACGCTTGTAATCTATTATTCGATAATGCTAGACAAAGGTGGCATAAGTGTAGCAGACAGAGGTACCGTCGATAGCATCTTACGAGATCAAAAACACACCGCTACTTTTTGTTGACAATACGTAAACAAAATCTCGGGTGCGCATAGTGGTGACAAGTATGTTTTGGGCCGAGTGTTCTATGACATGTTAGCCTACTACGTGCCACATTGGTATTGTCGGCAAAGGAGTAGCGCGGTAAGTAAACAGAAGCCGTCGAGAAAATATGAAACGGTTAGAAACGTTTGGAGTTTCAACTTTGAGAAATCCCTCGCTTCAACAATCTCGTCATTGTTAAGAATTAACAACATGATCAGGCTCGGTTTAGCAATCAAACATAATCCCCGAATTATATGATGTGTGGAGGGAAACGCTGGCTGGCTACAATTTCGGATTCCGCAGACTGGCGATTTCAAATGACCTAGAATCAATCATACACTAAGCGCATGCAACCAGCACGCAAATATAACCACCATATATCTAACGGCTAAAAGTAGAGGCCGCGATGCTGGTTAATCCGAATTGCTAGCATGATCTTAGTTTAAAAGCTACGCAATGCCCAAGCCGCACATGTAAATGCTATAGCGCAATGAGAATAAGAAACTAGAAGGGGCAGTTGTACCAACTACATGTTATCCCCTCGTGTTCTCCCAAAATGTGTAAGTATACGAAGTTTGGTCGCAACTCTAAAGGTCAGATTAGGGGCCGAGTTATAGAGGCAGAAGGCAAATATGAAAAGGTCAAGATCAATGTCAAATTGTTTTGACGCTGTTTTCCAGTTTGCAAGTGACCATGGTTTTCGGTACGCGACACACCTTCTCTCCCGCAGATGTGGTAAGTATCCAAGTTTTGGTAGCGCTAAGGTTCCAATTAAGGTCTCGAGTTATAGAGGCGAAAGGGAATATTGATCAAAGGTCAATGATCAATGTCCAAAGTTGTTTGACCTGTTTTCCAGTTGCAGTGACCTGGTTTTGCGGAGTAGCGTCGACACACCTTCTCCCTCAAGATGTGTAGGTAAGGTCCAAGTTTGGTCGCGCTAAGGTCAATTAGGGGCCGAGTTACAGAGTGCGGAAGGGCAAATATGAATCAAGGCGTCAAG